CATTTGCAGATGTACCTCTAAGCTTTGTTACCTTCCTTCTGCATGAAAAAGAAAACATCCACATGTGTGTTTTCAGGGGCAATGTTTGACATTGAAAACATCCTTCAATCGAACCAGGCACAGACAATCAAGTGTTCCCTCAAGGACATTGGCTCATTAACTTGCAACCCCTCTGGGACCTCCATGTGCGCATGTATATACCTGCTTGTATGTATGTCTATCATAATAGCTCTATATGCGTTGCTCTTTGAAGTGGATATTTTGATATTTTTGAAGTGGGGTTGTATGAGGTCCGGGTCAATGGTAAGTGTATTAGCCACAGGAGATGCGGTCAGCTCAGCCCCTTTATTGAGAAACCGGCCAAAGTGCCAGCAGACAGGCTATCAGCTATACATTGCTGCAGATGGGGCCATTTGTACCACGTATTTTAGCTAACTTAAAGAAAAAACAACCCAAAAATCAATGAGGATGTAAGTGTAGCCTATATTTAGAATTTTCTCAGAGCTCTACTTCACCGACTGCACGCCATTTCCTTTTAGCAATACTTTGGCGCACCACATGTTCTGTCACTTGCAGCTCAGTGAGAGTGATTAACAACTTGCATGAAAGCCTCCTCTTCATCCCTTTTTAACCACAATCTCTCTACACATGTTTCTTTTTGTTCTTTGTGTTTCATGATACAACGTCTCCTCTCAGTTGTTTGCCAATAATGAATTGGTTTACGTGGTATATAAGGACAAAGTGCTCGAACCCAGCAGGAAGGTTTGGGGTCATGAGGCCTAAACTCAGGTGTGCTATGATACGCTTGATTAAGTACAGCTGTCAGTGTGGGTGGAAGGTTCTTGTCCCTCCAGTCATTCTTCATGACAGGCAGATACCCCGATGCTCTGTGACCTGCCTTTGTCCCCCATGTCCCCCTGGATTTTTCACTTTCTGCAGACAGCACAGACCGTGCTGCTGGAGGGGGTCAAACAGCGCTGGCTGTGATGCCGGGCTCTGAGGGTGCACAGAGTGGTGCTGTGAATTGATCAGGATTGAGTGTTTGAGAATGTGACAAGATTTTGAGTGGCCCAAATCCACTAGAGGTGAATGGCCTGTGTGTAAGGACACTTATTTTTGGTGCAAATGTGCTTTGATGGAACACTGCCTCTTACTCTCTCAGACTGTGCAAAAAGAAGTGGATGAAGCCAGTGTGACATCACTCATTCATTTGTGGCTGTTTTTAAGCCTTAGTCATGGTTGCAACTTTTCAATACAGGAAGCCATGTCTTTAAGCATACCCTGCTTTTAAATTCACTCCAACAGGGACAACTTTATATATACTTTTTCGATTTTCTTATGCCTTTATTCCTTTATGCCTTTATACCCTAGAGACAGGATAGTGGATAGAGTCAAAAACTGGGGAGAGAGACAGGTCGATCCGAACCCGGGCTGTCTGTCCATGGGGCACGCACACTAACCGCTAGGCTCCCGGATCCCCCCCAAAAAAGGTTGATCATTTGTAAAATGAACACCATTCTATATAGAAAAAAAACCCTTAACATTATTGATGGAAACCATACACTTGTGAGGAAAATGTACATGCCTACACCCTGACTTTTTATTGCAACAAAATTGAACCATCTCGAACATTTAGAGAACCTTCAATGTTATTTTCTAATATTACAGTAATGAGAGGCATGTTGATATATTGTATGTCTATGATTACATACATACAAACATGCCTATTCATAATCTGTATGTTAACATCTGTTTAATACATCCACGTTTGCATTGTACATTTTACCTTATAAAACACCAATGTGTCCAAACTAAATGAAACAATAATACATTAATTTAGATGGAATGTTTTATATCTATGCGTCAATTGATAAAGCTCGCATTTCCTGACAAATGTTTGAACTACTGCCGATGTTTTTTTTTTCTAGTTATTTGAGGAAATCCAGCGAGTAAAGCACTGATGCAGTATACTGTAGCTTCTTGATACAGTCTATAATAATTATTATGTTATAAAAGCTCATCCAGCCTTAACCCTGACCTGGGATTAGCACTGGATTAGCAACCTGTTCACAGGCACAACAGTTACTAGATCTTTATGTACAAAATTAACATATTTCCAAGGGTTGAGGTGTTGAATAATAATATGAACATAATGGCGGGGAGCTAAGAATGCAAGATGTACTACACTGATGTCATTGGCCTAATACAGATGTCCCTTTCCCACCAATTATGTTTACAATTATCTGGGATATAGTTCAATTTACCAATAATGACAAGGAAATGAGATTAAAAAAAAGAACATTTCCAATTGCAAAACATAATGATGGCGGTATATTAGAAATATCTGTCAAATGTAAAAATAACCACTGTACTTGGTATTTACAGATCCTCCCATCCCCCTCTCCTTTCTCTGTCTGTCCTGCCTGCTTTACACATATAGGCGTTTTACAAAAATAGAAGAAAAAAAAAAGCACTAATACAGCACAGGCCTGAGTGAAAAGCCTTATCAAAGAGCACAAACACAGCAGTCAGACTCAAAATACAACACACACATACACACAATGCAGCCAGATGAATGGCTCAGTGGCAACACAATGGCGCTAAATTAAATCACTGATGTCAGAGTCGCCAAAAGCCCTCCGTCCTCTCCAAATCACTCACTCACACACATGCAAGGATTGACTAATAAGGACCCCTTTGTTTGCCCGTGTAATGTATTCTGGAGCAGGCCATGTCAGTTGAGGTTGGAAGGTGCGTATGGTCAATTTCAGTTCATTATGCAAATCAGCATCGCAACAATTGTTCTCAAGCCACCCTGGTACAATTACTGAATTAATAATTTGCTCCCTGGTCCTCTTCATATCTTTTTTGCCCTTTTGTTGAATAGCATCTTAATTTCCTTTATGCATCTTTTACGTAAGCTGCGTCAAAACAAAGGACTTCTCTGCAAACACATACAGACAGGCTCATGTAATCAGCATTGATTAGTTCAATGTACCATTATGGTGGACGTAGAAATTTCCTTTTTTAGACATTCTGCAGTTGGCATCAGCTGCTGTTAGCAAAGACCGCTATTCCTCCCCCCCCCCCCCAATCCATGATGCTGTTGGCGGCATCCTGTCGAAGATGTGTCAGGAAACAGCCCAAACAGGTGGCAATGTCAGTGTCAGTCGGGCATGAGCGGCCTCAGCTGAGCTTGTCAATGCTGGTACTTTCATCTGTGACCTTTACAAACATTTACAGCTGCCGTGAGGTTCTGAACTCGGCTCACTTCAACTCTAACGGGAAATATAACCAGTATAATAAAGTTGTAGAACTTCATGGCTGCTAAGACCAGGTACACCAGATGTAAGTGGGACCACTGAGTTGATTTGGTTTTCTGTGAAGACAGTTTTTATGGCCGAATTCCTGAGCTGAACGCCCTGGCTAGGAGAGCCTGCAAACTTCACACAGCTCTGACTCTTAAGGAATTATTGCATCACCAGGCCACTTTGCAATATATGTCTGCATATTATCTGAAGGTCCATGCAAAGAAGAGAAACGTATGTCTCAAGTTAGCTGAAGCACATCAATATAAATCCTATTGTGCAAATAATCTATGTCCCAGTACTGTAGCTGCGATGTAGAAGAAAAAGTGAGCAGAATTATCATCTTGCCATGTCAGACAACTGACACATACAAAACATTGCGTGGGAGTTATTCTCACCATTACCCATCAAAACAAGTTGAGGCGTAGCTGAGAGCTCAGCATCTTACTGTACCTTCTGCAATACCCTGTTATAGACAAACACAGACAGTAACTGTTGGCCTTTCTGCAGAACTATCTGTTTTAAATATTGGATTACATTACATTTAGTCTGTGCAATGGAGAGGTAATGGACAGAGGATGCCTTCCTCTGCAACTCTGTCCTGTGAAGATTTAGTTTAGGGTTGTTGGGACGAAGGGAGGTTAACAAAGTAAAAACCTCATTGTGAAAGAGGAAGAAAGAGGGAAGGACAGGCGGTATCAGCAGTTGGATAGGAAATAGGCCTACGTGTTTTTTTTTTTTTTTTTTACGAAGTAGTCTAGATCTGACAAGTCACTCTGTAAAAGAGAGAAAGCAGAGTAGATGGATCAGCTAACTGACAGAAGATATATTGTTTGTGTTGAAAAAGGGGGACTGAAGATTGGCTGAACAAAATCTAAACAAGTTCTCAACCAAAGACACAATGACCCAAAAAAAATGTTTTGTCCTCCTTTCAGAGGCATTATGCAATTTCACCCATGATGGAAGACACATTGAACCCATTTCTTACCTGGTGGCTTCTCCTTCTTAAGTGTTACTTACACACCTGCAGGTGTGGAGTGTTGAGAATGCAGACTATACCTCTAACATGAGCAGGAAATAGTCTTCACCATGGAGACCTGTACATTAATTGCTTGCTCAGCTGTTGGGTTAATGGATACACTTTTTTTCAAGATGCATAACCCACATGATATGATCCTTTATCAAAAACGGATTTATTGACATATTACCCAAATGATTTAAAGGATAGAGAGAGGCTTTTTTTTTTATATCCCAATTTTAAATCTTTTGGCCACACTTTGTTTCTTTATTCGTCCAATCAGAGCATGAAATATATAGCTGGAAATTTGTATGATCATTTATCAACAACAAAGCAGTGTTTCCAGTCCAACAAATGCAAAAGCTTTAAGGTTTGGCCTGGCCTTCCATATGGCAAACCTCCCACGTCACACACAAACAGTATAGTGGAAAGCTGTAACATCACTGGGCCTTCGTCTGTCTGCTTGTCATCCTCAACAGACTCTCAGTGCTGCAGCATCCCAACATCACCAGCATCACCAGGTGCAGTAGAGCAAAGCCCACTATGTGTGCGTGAGACGGAGAGGGGAGGGAAGGGGGGGGGCGTTGTCGCTGGGGGCAGATGAAAGAAGGAGAGATAGAGAGAGGGAGAGAGAGGGAGAGAGAGAGAGAGAGAGAGAGAGAGAGAGAGAGGGCTGGCAAGGTGGCGGGATTTGTGTTGAAGCCACTGCGTTGTCAGACATGCGCAAGAGCGTCATCATCAGCAGCAGCAGCAGCAGCAGCAACACAACCACTGCGCTGCGTTTCCGCCTTGGCTGAGCAGCGCAGGGGAGGGAAGCCGAGAAGAAGAAACGAAGCCACGGAGACGCAGTGTTGGGCACAGCACACGGACTCCGAGCTAAATTGCACCGACGCAGCGACAAACCCAAGGCACCTCGTCTCCAAAACCAAAAAAAATTCAACGCCAAGAAGCGACCTGTGCGGTGCGCGCCAGAGCCTTTCCAGCATGGAGACTACGCTGATAAACAAGCACTAAAAATGTGAGATTTACAGAGGAAATCACGAGAGAGAGAGAGTGAGAGAGAGAGAGAGAGAGAGAGAGCGAGAGAGAGAGAGATAGAGAGAGAGTGCATGTGTGTGTGTGTGTGTGTGTGTGTGAGTGTGTGTATGTATATGAAAGAGAAAGTGGCTGCCCCTTTTTATCTTGTGCGGGTGATCTCAAATTCTGCAGTGTGAAAAATGAAGAAGTTTAACATCAAGAAGGTGCTGGACAGCTTGAAAGAGGTGTCCTCCTCCACCCCGTCTGTCCAAGTGGGGCCACAGGAGAACCATCTGATCCAGGAGACCATCCAGTCCGAGCATTTCCAGCTCTGCAAGGTGGGCGATGCTTAGATTCTCTCCCCCCCATCACATTTATTGCATGCAGTCTAATTTTTTTTATTGGTCTCAATTTGTACTGCGCTCATCCCGTCTCAGGATACAGCAGGTGCATGTAAGCTAGACCCAAACAATGAATCTATGGGCAAATAGGTTGTTTTTTTTTCCAAACGATAACGATCAACTATTAAATGAATGTTTTTTTTTTTTTTTTAGCCTAACATTTTGAATGAAAGCCTTTTGAAAGCTCCCTGTGTTTGTCCAAGGCATGATCATTCTGTCTATAACAGACCTAACTTCAATGCGGATACTGTGTGTCTACAAGCGCAGGACAATACCCAATAGTTAGTTCCTGTTCTGTTTCATGTTCGCTATTTAATGTTGTTGTTTTGCTGAACAGCTAGTTATTATCAAATTTCAAAATGCATTATATGATCCTCTGTGAAAACACAATCGTTTGCTGCTAGGCATGAACTGTCATCGAGGGGCTGGGCCAATCTGATCCTCTCTTGCATAATCTGTTTGGATTAGCAAAACGCTGCTTCTTGGTGTGTGTGTGTGTGCGCGTGTGTGTGTGTGTGTGTGTGTGTGCGCGTGTGTGTGTGTGTGCGTGTGTGCGTGTGTGTGTGTGTGTGTGTGTGTGTGTGTGTGTGTGTGTACTTCCACCCTTGTGTTGTCTTTGCTGGCAGTCTGTCTCCATCCCTCACAGAGACACACCTCTCCTCTCTCTCTCTCTCACACACACACACACACACACACACACACACACACACACACACACACACACACACACACACACACACACACACACACACACACACACACAGCTTTACCCCCAGATCATTGATTCATTGGGGACTGATGGCGCCTGAAGTGAGCAGGGCCTGTTTGAAAAAAAAAAAAAAACCCTGGCTTGCCCTATTGTGCCTGAATTGGCCACAAGAATGGACGCGGTTAATAAACAGGCTTGCAGTGCAATTTACATGCCATGCACAAATACATCTTATCCCACTCGCTGTATTGCAGTAAGTGTGTCCTAATGGTTTGGTGTGGCCTTTTTTAGTCTCATATCACTGTCTGCTATTCTATTGGTTCACCCACATATTAAACCTGCAACTGTAACAGGCGTATTTGTGGGAGCTTTCTAAGGTTTTGAACTGTAGAATGAAAATCGTCATATATTGCGACTGAAGTAACAAGTCATAAGTAGAAATTAACATCACATAAACTTTGGTAAAGTCATGACGGCTGAGGGCTGAGGGGGAGTTTGTGGTTATGTTGCCAGAGAGAACATCTCAGATATCCTAGATTCTACAGCTCTAGGCGCAGATGTGTCAATCAGCAAGCATGCATTTTTATTAAAGTCTCCTTGAACAAGACTCCTTCTCCTGCTCCCAGCACCTTCTCTGTCTGTCTGGACACAAACTGTGTAACGTTTCGCTGCGAGGAAAGCAGGTGTCTCTGCTGCACTGAGTGCTTCTTATGTAACATGCTTTAGCCTTCTGCCGCTAAGCAAACAAATCCAACAGCCCACCACCAGCTGACTGATGCCATAAAGTCTCAGTCAGTCAGTCAGTCAGTCAGTCACACACACATATACACAGAGGGTGGACGGCAAAAAGCAAGGAACATCTTTCAATGCAGCACGCCACATAAGAAGGCTCTGCGACAAACATAATCAAATGCTCCTTAACTGGTGTGTTTTTCCCTGTTTGCTAAGACTTCAGTGCAATCACGACTCTATGTGGGAGGCAGTGAGAGAAGGAGAAAGAGATGAAAAAAAGAGATGAAAAAGGGAGAAAATCTCAAAATAGAACCATGATTATAATGGATCCTAAAAAGCGAAGCCAAATATCAAGGAAGGACAGGGTAGCCATGCAGAGAGAGCGCGCGTTTGTTCCCTTCATTTTCTCTTGTCTCTTGCAATTTCAGCTTTACATTTCTGTTTCATAACGCTCTCCACGTCCATCTGGGCCATTTGTTTACCAAAATAATGTGCGCGACATCCTTTCACAAAGCAACGCCCCTGCTGTAAAAATGCAAATTGTTTTCCTCTCTAACACATTTTAATTTTTTCTCATCCTCCTGCACATCTCTGCAGACTGTCCGTCATGGCTTCCCCTATCAGCCCTCATCCATGGCTTTTGACCCCGTGCAGAAGATCCTGGCCATCGGCACCCAGAGTGGCGCTCTCAGATTGTATCCTTTTTTTTGTTGTTGAAAGATTGCACCCATGAGAGGCAGCAGCAGGTAAGCAAACGGATGTCTCGGTGGGCTTTCAGGGTATTTTTAGAGGCATGCTGGAAAGGTTTTCAGACATATTCATGGGTTGCCTGTCGCTTTATGCTCTCCATGTGCTTCTGAGTTCCAGCATCAACAATGCATTCTTTGATTCGTGGTTACATGAAAGTGCAAGGAGGTTTCACATGTATAATTTAAGTAATATCACACTGAAAGCTGTGCTGTTATACTGAATGTCAGCATGTCTTGTGTTTATTTTCAATTTCAAAGCCTCAGACAAAACATGGCCATGTTGATATTCAGTAGAGAAGCACAACGTTGAGTGTCACATTGCTGATATCCAACAGTTCTATGAGCTGCCAGTTACAAGGATCAAAAGATTATCATTATTTATTTATTTAACTGACACAACCAGTTCCACACCTTGAGTGGAACATTTTCCTGCATTATTTTTTTGTCTGTCTACATGCTACTAAAATCCAGCGACCTTGTATACATTTATCGATATTATTTCATTCATATTGCGACCAGTGACATAAGAGCCTTTTGACAGCTGCTTTGGTTTAATATGTGATTCTGAGATACCAGGACTGCTGGGAATCTTTGGGTGTCTCACGACTCGATTCTTGGGCTCACGATTCGATTGAGAATCTATTCTCGATATACTCCAGTCATCTGTGAGACTGGCTGAATTTCTTGCTGCTCCTTTTGGCTTTCTACTGAGTGAAAGAGCAGGGGGGGACTGATCAGCCAAAAAAAAAAAAAGGTTTTTGGAAGATAAGAATCTCGATTTTTACACAAATCGTTTTTTCCCCATGTCTAGATACCAGCTTGATCAATCTAGACAGTAACCTTCTGCATTACCGTTAACACTATCCAGAACACCTGTACTGCAGCAGAGTGATGCACACAGGTTAAAGCTCACATGATTTTGTACTCTGTATCAGGACTCATGGAATGGATGAGAACCATCCTCTGAAAACAGAGTAATTTTTCATCGTTGTTGATTTTCTTCAAAAGTGTTCTGCGTTCAGACGTTTTGATAGCAACCGCCATGCACACAGCCCTGAAAATGTCGACTGGGAGTAAGCAGCACAAACAGAACTCAGGAGTTTGTCTTTGTTATTGTAGTCTGACTACTGAGTGGAACCTTAATGGGCATGTGTCAAGAGTTCACTCTTGCATTTTGTCTGTAGCCGCAATGCACATGTGCGTAAGGTCACAGATTTTAGGAATAATGGCGTTCTACCAGGTTACACATAGATGGTGCTGTTTTCAAAAGTTTGCACTCTGGGACCCGTCTTTAAAATCTTCCCTTTTCAGGCATCCAAAACGTTGTTGTCATGTAAACGAACAGCCAAGGCGCTACAAAAGGTTACTGTTTCAGGATGAAATCATTGTCGTGTAGACAGGGCCTGATACTGTCTCATTATTTCCCTCCTCACCCATTTTACATTTCTATAAATATACTTGAAAAAAATAATATTTTCTTCCATGAAGTTTATGCCTCAATTCAGCGAGAGAAGTAAGCGGTTCAGGTTGCTCGCGTTGGCTTTCTTCCTTGCAATATGAGGACGTTTTACACAAACAGGGACAACAGCTTGTGATGAAATGGCACCTCGGGGAGTCGTATAGCTTCAGAGAACACCCGCGAGCTCGCCTGTGTCAGTAGCTTTTTACAGGTTCTCCGTGTGTTCTCTTGCCTGTCCGACAACCTTTGCCAGCTCATTACGGTGTGATGAAGAGCTGTCCGCCTGGCTGTCCCTCGCACCCACCTGCTGGCAGTTATGGCTGTGACTCAGCCTCGTTTACCTGCAGAGGTATAGTGAGGATAAAAACAGAGACAGTCACAGCGGCATAGAGTCCACAGAGTTGTGTTTACCAGACTTATTAAAAAAGACGACTGTGTTTGCAGATTTGTTTGTGTTTTTCTGCATCTAAAAGCGGAGTGCAAGATTTCCTAACGCTCCTAAAGATGTTCAGACTGAACAGAAACTATGATTTTCTTCATCCGGAGCAGAGCAGCTTCTGTCAGTCGATTAGGAGATAGCAAAGAAATCCCTCCTCTGGTAAAAGTACTATATCAAGGCTGATGCTGGAGCTGGTGGATAAGCCTAATGGGGCTCATGTCTTGCTGGCTGGAACATTACTCCTGTGAGATCTAGACTGGGTAAACTCTGCTGTACTGCCAAAGAAGCCATGTAACCAATCAGCTTAGAGATCAAAAACTGCATCCTCCCTCCGGCAGAAATGATCCCGTCAGATGCTTCCTACTGGCTGAAAGTGGTCACTTTGAAATTGAATGAACAAAGGGAGTGCTTTTATGTTTGAGCGATGTGGATCAGAGGGAGTCTTATCAGAGTCAGGGGAAGGTGAATTGGGAGTCATCCATCTATTCTTTGGTGCTGGTTCTCTTCTGTGTGTCTTTTGCTGTTTAGTCTGCCTCGCCTCTTTATCTGATTGCAACGATACCAGAGAGGATCAGGTTAGAATTCATGAATCATCCCTTTTGGCATTGCAGTGCTGCAGCTTGTTTTTTTTTTTAATATTCATTTTTGGGCCTTGTATTCCTTTATTTAAGGGACAGGACAGCAGAAAGAGTAGGTAAATTAAGAGGTTAGAGTGGGGAACAGCATACAGGAATGGGGCCAAGGGTCAGAGCCGAATCCTGGGCTGCCCACTTCCAAGGACCACAGCCTCTGCTCAAGGAGCGCCAAACCAAACCCAATCCCCAGGACAGCCTGCGCCCAAGCTTGTGTGTTTTTGAATGATGTATCGCATATAGTTGTTCTGATACCTACCAGTACCAGTATGGGAATACCAATTTTGCTTTTAATATACGCTACAATAACACTACCGTTTCTTTAGTATACCTGCCGACACAGTTACAGGTATCGTTATACTGGTACCGTTACCAGTATGGGTACACTGATAACATTACTTCTAATGGTGGCCTCTGATAGTGCCTAAAATGCAGTATCATAGATCATTTTAGTCAATGAAAAGTCCATAAGTCCCCCACAAAAAAACGACAGGTTTTTACTGTATAGGTCAATTTTCATTTAACAACAACAGACAACAATGTTGTTAGTTGCTAACCATGCTAGTGAAGGATGAAGCATTATTCAGGGCCAGTAAAAAGGCAGTAATTCATGTTTTTTCAACCAATAATATCAATTTAATTATGCCAGTCTGTAGAGGGGCTTATTCCTGGCTGATAGTGAGGTTTGTGTATGGGGAAGGAAGAAAGTGGTGTCCTAACATCACTCTTATTCAAGTTAAAGTCTGCATAATTCATGAAAGATATCTTGGACTCTGCTGATAATCTTTTCTTTTTTTTTGCTAGAGGTCAGTCTTTTGCAGTTTGTAGCAGCTAATGGCAGTTGCTGTCAATGGATGTTTGGGTGTGTGTGTTTATTTGCTGCCTGGCGTGCCAGGACATTTGGCTGCACCTCTCTCCCATGGAGGATTACAGGAAGTGGCAGATCAAGGGCCTCAGCCTGGCAGCATGGTAGAGGACTGTGAATTACAGCAGGGGCAGGAGGTGTTTGTGGATGTTGTGTACATGCCTGTGAGTGAGTGCGTGCGTACAAATCTGTGTGCGCGTGTGAATCCTCAAAGGAGACGGCTGATCCCTCCAGCCAGAAAGCCAATCACTTCTGTGATCCCCCCCAAAAATGTCTCGCGTTTGATGCTCGCCTCTGACTCCGCTGCTGCTTCCACCGTCCAGCTGGGAAGATGACAATGCCCCTTTGGTGTTGTCTGGAGGATGTAAAAAAAAAAAGAAGAAGAAGGGGGATAGAGGGAGAGAAGGGTGGCAGGTTGATAGAAAAAAAGGGAGAGCAGCTGAGAAAGGGGATGGATGGGAAAAAATGAGAGAGGCAGGCTAACCTCTGCTCCAACATCTAATGGCCAAGAATAGAATCTGTATTGATCTGTGTGTGGTAATGCACTGAGACAGTTATGCCCAAGTGCACACACACTCTGCTGTCAATTGTTTTCTGCACGATATCTCAGCGGCAGAGAGATGTTGTGAGCATCTTTGGAAAACAGGTTTTTTTCGCTCTTGCAAGGAGTCGAAGCATATAATCTATCCACTGGATTAACAGTGTAACTTCAAGAATAAGCAGAAAGGCTCTGTTCTAAGATGAATTAAAAGAGCTTGTTTTTTTCTGTTTGGAGACAATGTGTGTATGAGGACAAAGTTTAAAGGACGAACAGAGCAGAAGAAGCTTCTTTGTCTCCTTGTCCTGTGGTCCTTCCATTCTTGACCAGACTAAACTACATTTCTTTCACTTCTGCTACTTCTCACTTTATATAAAATGGCTCAAAGCCAACACAAGACTCTTCGTCCATTAGTTTAATGATTCTACTGTTTAACAACTGCAGCAGCAGGTTGCTGTTGACACGTATTAAGACAGGAACTGACAGAAAGGTGGCATAAATTCCACATAATGTGCTTCATCAAATTAGCTACCATATAATGATATTATGAACCTTCATCAGGAAACGTGATGTCTCTAGATAAAGAGATTGAATCAACCAAAGCCTGCAGCCTAATCTGAGGCTTAATATAAAACGTGTTACATTTATGTATCTACGTGGCAAAAAAGTGTCTACTCTTTAAAAGTGGAATCATAAAGAACCTTGAAGTCGCCTGTCAGACAGGAAAAGGAACCTTTGTGATGTGTTGAGTTCCACCAAATAAATTATCTGTAAAGTTAAGTGTCAAAATTTAGTGTAAAAAAGAAATAGTTTTTTGTTGTTTGGTAAGATATCTATCCCTCTAAATCCATCCAAATCCGTCCCTTATATAGCTGCTTGTGTAACAAAAACAACAATAGACTAAGACTCTGAAGAGCTGCACATTACTTTTTGCATTTTCATTATAATAACTAAACAAAAAAAAAAAAAATTTGAAAAGGTGATTCAAATCGCAATGAATAAGCAAAACTTTT